GGCCAACAGAGATTAGCAAAGAGTAGGACAAGCAGCCAAGGCTGAAGGAGAGCATATTCCAAAGCATGGAGCTGTGACCCAGGAAGGAAGTTTGGCTGGCTCTGGGGATTGCAACAGGGAGGCTAGCAGAAGCCAGAGTGCGGCACTGGGGAGCCAACAGAGTCAGATATGGGCATTGGAAAGACCTCTCTGGAGGTAGGGAGGGAATGTTTCCCACTGCTCTGATAGGGGAAGGCACGCTATAAGAACAGAATTACGGTTGATTAATAGCTATTCACGCCGAAACCGGTTTGGCTCAGTGGATAGAGCGTCGGCCTGCGGACTGAAAGGTCCCAGGTTCGATTCCGGTCAAGGGCATGTACCTGGGTTGCGGACACATCCCCAGTGGGAGATGTGCAGGAGGCAGCTGATCGATGTCTCTTTCTCATCGATGTTTCTAACTCTCTATCCCTCTCCCTTCCTCTCTGTAAGAAATCAATAAAATATATTTTAAAAAAAAATAGCTATTCACTATACTAAATATAGATAAGAGATTTTCTTACAGATCCTGGGAAACTGTGGAGGACATGCTGTAAGAAGAAAAACAGAGTTGTAAAGATAAATCGACCTTGAAGTCCAGGTGGCTCCATCACTCAGAAAGAAGATACATTTTTTTAAAAAATATATTTTATTGATTTTTTACAGAGAGAAAGGGAGAAGGATAGAGAGTTAGAAACATCGATGAGAGAGGAACATCAATCAGCTGCCTCTTGCACACCCCGCACCGGGGATGCGCCCACAGCCAAGGTACATGCCCTTGACCGGAATCGAACCCAGGACCCTTCAGTCCGCAGGCAGACGCTCTATCCACTGCGCCAAACAGGTCAGGGCAGAAGATACATTTTGAGAGCTGATCAAGGACAGGACACACCTGAAAGGAGACAAAAGTCTGGGGGCTAATCATTACGAGCACAATGATAGAAAACAGACCCTGGGAACTCACATAGTTTTAGATTCTCTCCCACCCTCTAACCCTATAAAATGGCTGGCTTGAGACAAGATGTTGGAGCAGTGTTTCAGGGTACTATACCTACCACTCTCTTGGATCGCCAAGCACAAAGATTCATCTTTGTCTCTACTTATCGACTCTGGTAGTGACGGGCCACATGGACACTTTTGGTTTCAGTTTCACTTTCAGTCCCAAGCTAGATACCCCAGTGGCTGGGCTCTGGCACAGCCAGAGTGAGAGACACTCTCCTGACACAAGGCCCAGCCCCTATTCCTCAGGCTTCTCCAGCAGCCCCATTCCCACACAAGCACACATCAGAGTGCAGTGCCCTGGGCTGTTTTTCATCTGCCTCTCTCACTGCACTGGGAAACAACACCTGGGTCCCTCTCATTGCCAGCACAAAGCCTGGGGGTCCTCAATATTTGGTGGGGGGAAAGATGGAAAGGACAGTCAACCCTCACTGGTTGTTAATTGTGTGGGCCTTTTTTGGTCAGTAGACGTAGTCACAGCACATACTGTGAGGCCTTCAGAGAGGCCTATCCCCCTTTCTCTGTCTTTGGGGTCCCCCTTTAAGAGACTGATTTCTTCTGGAGGTGGGTTGGGACTCCTTCAGAGTTTGGGGGGCTACCCACTCTTTGCTTACCATGGCAAGGCAACAGGTTACTGTGTCCCCAGTCTTTCCTGCAGAAGGAAGATCTGTTTTGCCAGCACAATTTTGGAAGTAGCTCACCTTACTCTGATCAGATCCCATGACTCTGTCCCACCCCCAGATCCTGTTCAACCCAGGTGCTCTGAGCCCAGGCTACTGACTACTGCTACAGCTCAACACTCAGGTTCTGCAAGCTTGGATAGCAGAGGGTTCCTAACCACCAGCTGTGCCTGAAACTTTTCTTAGAAAGGTTTGGGGAAAATCCAAGCTCCTCTATTTCTTGGTTATGAGGCTAGCTGCTTCACTCCTGCTCCTCTAGAGGGCTTACTATTAAGAAAGTTATGAACTCGTTGGATCCATGCAAGTCCTGGGACATGTTCTAATCATGCCCATTTGAGCAGCAAACTGAGAGGTGAGGTCAAGGGGCTTGCCTAAGGTTACACAGATCAGTAGGTCACACTTCAGTCTGCATGTTTTCAAACTTCTGCCTCATATGGTTGCTGTAAGAATTAATTGAACCCAATGTTTATCAAGTGACTGGCACAGGACCATGTTCCAAGTAGGAGCTCTTTGCCTGGCCCACCCACCAACACTGAAGTAGTCCTCTGTTGGGTGGAGTAGAGGAGGGATTCAGAAGTAGAGGGCAGAGAGTGCTGTAATAGCAGTCCAGGAGGCCTTCATGGAGGAGGCAATGTCTGCAGCCAGGCCTGAAAGGCCTGGGGAGAGCATTGCTGTGTGTCTTGGGGAAAGGTGCCACACTTCTCTGTTTCTCTGCCCATAGGGTGCTTGCCAGTGACATATCTCCTTCCTCTGGGGTGAGAAGGAGCTCCTCCAAGGAAGGAAAGGGTTTTATAAATAGCAGATGTGGCCACATTAACAAGCTGAGGTTTGGGGAACTGACCTGTTACCTTGCCTTCCCAGGGAGCCAGCAGTAATCTGTGCCTGGGCTGGGGTGGTCGAGGAGTGTGTGCCTGTGGAGACTACACATGCCTGGTTGGTGTGCTGTGTGTGCGTGTGCATGTGTGTGTAGGAGGGTGAGTGTGAAACCTCCTTTCCAGACTCTTCTATGGTACTTTTCTTTGTTAACTCTGCCCAGGAAGCCCACATAAGGACAAACTGTTCCTTCCAACCGCAATACCATTTCTCCTTTCCAAGATCACAGCCTAATAAACATGTAGGGGCTCCCAGGACAGCCACATTGTATTGATTACTTCCCTTCATCCAACAAAGGCTTCATAGCCACCTCTCTCCATAGGTTCTATACATGACCCTTGGTGGAGAGAAGAAAAGGGCAAGGTCACGGTCTTCAGGATCTGACAGCCAGCTGACACTCTACAGAGCTTTTTACAGTTTATGAGCAATTTCCCACACTGATTTAGTTTGACGCTCACCTTGCTCTATGAGGCAGATATCATGGTTCCCATTTTGCAGATTAGAAAGTTGAGGCTTACAGTTATAAAGTGGCTGCTGCCCGGCTAGCATGGCTCAGTGGTTGAGCATTGACCTATGAATCAGGAGGTCATGGTTCAATTCCTGGTCAAGGCACATGCCAGGGTTGTGGGCCCGATCCCCAGTGTGGGGCATACAGGAGGCAGCTGATCAATGATTCTCTCTCATCATTGATGTTTCTATCTCTCTCCCTCTCCCTTCAGAGTGGCTGCCAAGTCCCCTACCCTGTATCCTTTCTTTTATATTCCAACATGTTTAAGCAATGCTGGAATGGAATGGAATGGACAAGGCCCTGATTAAGTGAGCTGTCTTTGTGAGTATTCCTGAATTAAGACAAGACTCAGTGGGGTGAGTCTTATCAGGCTTATCTTGGCCTTTATGGGTCTCACTCAGGCTCAGAGAGATTGGAGAGAACACAGGCCACTGAGCACAAAACCTGAGAGTCCTAGACCTAAGAGTTGAGAACACTACCCTCTCCCCATGCCCCAAATAGCAAGGCAAAGTGGGGCAAGGAGTGGTATGCTGGAGGAGGTGGGGGAGGCAGAATTGGTGAGGAGCAAGAGTAGGGAAGAACAAACAGCCTGTGACCTGAGGCTTGGCCATGACCCCTGGTTGTCAGCACACAGATTTGCTTTCCTGACGCTAAGGTGTGACAGCAGAAAGATCCTTAGTCTGTTGTGTGACCTTAGTAAAGCCCCAACTATCTCTGAGTCTCTGCTCCCCAGATCCCTCCAGACTATTTCTAAGGACCCTCTAGCTCTCAACTAAGTGATACACTTTCCCTTCCTTCCAGATGACCTCCACTTCCTCTTCCTATTCCTACCTGTGGTGCCCAGTGCCTCCACCTTAGCTCCAGCTGCTCCAGCAGTTTCTGGACTCTTGGAACCTGGGGGCCGCAGGCCTGCGCTGCCTTCTGACTCAGGCAGTCGTGACCTTTGGGATCTGAGCAGGTGGCCTGGATGGTTTTACCCCACGAACTTGCTTTGACCTTTGGCATGTCCACTGGTACCCAACCTCCTCCACTTCACAAGCCTGTGCCCAGTTCTTGGGCAGCCCAGGAACTAACCAGATTTCTTCAGAGAAGGTAGCAGCACCATGGGGCTTCTCATCCCAAATCAGGTGGCTCAGAGAGTTGGGCAAATGGGAACAGCCCTTCCACCCCTCTAGCCCCTCTCTCAGCAACATACCATTCCTGGCTGGGAATGCTCACCCCATCCTACCTCCCAGGCTATACATGCTCAGCTTAGGCCAGTCTTATTGAGGGAGATTTGCCAAAAATGTTCAGAGGTACCCATTCAGGCCACTAAGAAACACACCCCACCCCTGCCCAGTACCCTCATTGCTGGCTCACTACAGGGATAGGGAAATCACCCATTCCTCAAACAGGTGTGGTGCCCTAACAGGAGCTGAGATACATCTGTCTGGAATTTGTCCTCACTGGCTGCACTGAGACTCAGGAGCCCTTCTCCAGCTCCTTAATGTCACTAGTACTGGTCAAAGGAGCCAGAGGACCTACTGTGTGCCAGATAGTTTAATACAACCTCTTCTAAGCCTTACAACAACACCACCATGATATAATTTCAGTTGTACTAAAATAAGAAAACTGAAGCTCAACAAGGTCAAGTGGCATGCACAAGGCCACTTAGCTAGAAAGTGACAATGAATGAATGATCTAATGGAGTGGCTGAATGGAGGCGTGTGATCGGCGCGACCGGCACTGGCTGACGTAGTGCGGTGGGTACAGACTCTGCACAGCGCTTGCGGCCGGGGCCTGGGAGGGCTGTACCACGCAGGTCCTCCACACCCTGGGCCCAGGGGAGCGCAGGCTCCTAGAAGCTCTGCCCTAACTCCGCTAGCCGTCCCGCCCCCGCTCCGCCTCCAGCCCGCCCCGCCCGGGACCGCAGACGGCGCCCGGCAGCGACGCAAGCGGCCGCGGGGAAGTTGGCTCCGGCTCGGAGCTCACGGCGAGTTCCCGCGCAGGGCGCAGCCGGACAAGAACCCACGGCCTCGGCGGCGCTGGAGGATGTGGCCGCGGCCCGGGACGGCAGCAGCGGGCCGCCTGACGCCCTGCAGGTAGGAGCTCACCCGCTCGGCCGGCGCGGAAACTTGGGCCGAGTTTGCGGGAAGCGCGTGGAGAAGTGGTGGGCGGCGCTGCCCCAGGGCGCCCCTACCGGCCCGCCCGGGGAACGGAGCGCGCGGGCCGGAGCGAAGGTGCTATGGCTCCCGGCTGCCGCCGGCCCCCAGCGGACGGGCTGGCCGCGCCGCTGCTCCGACTCTCCCCGGACTTGGTAGCGCCTGGAGCTCTGGCGGGGCCACGGCGCGGGGCTGGCGAGAAGGAGCGCGGGCCGAGCCCTCGGGCCTCCCGCGGGGCCTGGCTCGTGAACTGACCGAGAGGAGCTGGGGGGGAAGGAGGGCTTGGGCCTGGTGGGCGTCGGGCGCTGAGGCGCCGCGGGGCCAAGGACGCACCCTGCTGGGACAGGATGGCCCTGTGGTTTCCTCGCTAGGATTGACTCACCCACTGGCCGCAGCCCAGGCTGGCGGGTTCATCCCGAGGCGGTGGCTGCCCGGATTCTGTGGCCGGGCCGCCCCTGCTGCGGATCTCCCGCTGGTCTTTGGGTGTCTGTCTGTGGGGCTGGATGCGCGGGCCTGCCTGCGTGCACACGTGTGCTAGGACCTGAGCAAGAGAGAAGGCAGTTCTGTAGAGGCGAGCGTGCAGATGTGGGCCACGCACGTACATGCAGGCACGGGTTTGCATGTGTGACGGCAGCCTGCTGGAGTACACGTGCGCCCCAGTGCCTCCGGAAGCCGCAAAGCCAGGTCGGCTGAGGGCCCCGGGCACCAGAGTTCTGGGCAGGGCAGGTAGAAGAAAGCGGGTGGAGGCCAATCCCGTGACCCTTCTTCCTCCAGGTTCGGTTCTAGAGATAGCAGGGTCCCAGAGCCTCAGGTGGGGGAAGTATGAGAACAGGGGATGAGGCCCTATTCAGTCCTGTGAGAATGTCCAGACGTTGGCCACACCTGGGCAGGATCACTCTTTCCTTCCTGATCTTTTCCAACGTCCATCCAGGGAACCCCTGGAGATGGAAGAGGGAATTGGGCAACAGAGCTGTTAGCCTCCCCCGCTGGGTAGGGCCGAAATGGCCTTGGTGGGCTCTTCTAGACTCTTCCCTGAGCCTTTGCAGAGGTTGGTCCTCCCAGCCCAGCTTCAACTTGAGCCACCAAACAGTGTGGTGGCCCAAAGGGTGATGTGACCCTGCTCCCTGGGGTCCCCACCTTCCTCCAAGCAATTGCTTGCTTCCTCAGTATGTGTGTGTCAGGGAAGGAGACGACTGTCTTGAGTGGAGAGTGATTTCGCTATACTGGGCTCTCCATCTCCTGCTGGCAGGAGGTAAGGTCACCTCCACACCCTTCATAACCCGCTGATGGCTCCCTGGAGACCCCTCTTTCCTAAACAGGGGTGGCCTCACATCTCTTGGCTGGGTCCCTAGGGGGTCTCTCAGGAAGTCTCCAGGCAAAGGGCACACAGTGGGCAGAGCCCAGGAAAGAAGGACTCCTGGGAGTGGGTATGGAGGAGGCCCCAAGGAGCATGTGGGGAAGGTGAGACGGAGCCAGCACTTAATTAACTCCAGAGCTCCCGAGGGCAGAGGCAAGGCTCAGTACCCAAAACCATAAAACTCTTTCTTGCAAAGCTGCATTCCCCTAGGACCGTGGTCGGCAAACTGCGGCTCGCGAGCCACATGCG